GCTGAATTCATAGTGTATTCCAGATGAGTCGTGTTTTTAAAATATACCATTTATATTCTATTTTTCCTTACGCAATCGGTGTTATTTCTACAATAGTTGGTTAGGTTTCGGAGAAGTTATGACTTTGGGGCTTTAAAAGCCAACATAACCGTCTCTAATATGAACTAGGTGTCATTTTAGCTAATATTTACTCATTTGTCATTGAATTGTAGTCACTGTTTCGTTTTGCAATCACATTTTCTCACAGGTGGGTTATTTGAGATTGTGAGGGAAGCGAAGAGGTTGATAACTAGGCTCTGATAGCGTAGGAGACTGGGTCATGGTTTTCCTTTTTGCGTCATATTATCTTGACGACTGTAGCACCCTGTTCTGGGAGTAAATGGCCTCAATTCTTGCAGTTGTAAATTACTACAATTATTAAGCTTCTGTTAAAATCTTTATTTACGAAATATCAATAAAACACATTAAGAAATCTATTGGTTCCTCTAAAATTTCCTGCGTAAATCTACGGGTACAATATGTCGTTAATGGTTTTCAGGACTGCCCCATTGAAATGATCGGCGAAACCTGGGAACGAGATAATGCGAAACTTGACCTGGACAGTTGAGTTGTTATGGGAACAGTGATACGAATCATCGGTTGAAAAGTGCGAGTTTGCTGCGAGTCAATTCGTAGCTATCACTGCGGGAAATGTTTAAGCTAGATCCAGTGTAAGAAAGATTGTTCATCGGTAGTAGTTCGTTGATTTGACGTCGTCTTCTCTTGTGGGTGATTTTGTCCACTATGCGATGCAACAATGGTCGAATAACTCGTTTTAACCTCTTATTCAGATAGCCATAGATAACGAAGTTAACCAAAATCCCGCACTGCATCAAAACTACAGCACATACTTTTGCATCGTGTGACAGCTGCCCAGTAAACATCGCTGTCGTAATGCATCCAAGATAAGGCAGGTGACATGAGCACAACGTTAGAACCATTAAAGTTATCATTTGAATGTTTTTGGCCGATACGCGAATATTTCTTTCTGCTATTCGCCTTCTGCTCGAGTCTAAGCTGTAAAAATCGGGTGGTAAGTTATCCGTTTTCTGGTGAAAATAGATGACTAAGTTAGCGTACATGCACAAAGTTCCGAAATGTAAAAATGCAAGAAATGCAAATTGTGCCGCAGCCACTCCTCTAGAGTATTTGGTCACATCTGCGCTCGTTTCTTGCTTAAAAAATGTCACAAGGCTCGCGTAAACAGTAGAGATAATCCATGAAAAAGTGATGCAACATGTAGTTTGTTTAACAGTCATTTGGGCAAGCTTTCGTCCACACAACACCAAACTGTATCTTGTTATACTTATTAGAAACAGTGCCTGAAAATAAACGCTGATTGCAAATTCTTCTATAAAACTCTTCACGCCGTGTCCAAGCTCTGTAGTACTGTTAATCTGTAATACATCGAATACTAACGTGAACACTCCTGAAAAAAATTCAAGAAGCAAACCAGCAAAGCAAAGATTTATCACCGGCACGGCAGTAGGTACTTGTAAGTATTTGTCCTTGTAGACTGCATAGCATATAGTTGAAGCTGCAAAGAATACAGCAAAGGTAAACAACGAGAAAATTATAGCGGCGAAAACGATGCTGAACGCGTTTACTGCGTTGAAATTCATTCTCCGTTGACGAGCAGTCGAGGACCGCACTCACTTTGTGCTCCTGTCACGAAGATTTAAGAAGTAAAAAATGGATTTGCATTTGAAATGAAATTCACTGCTTGCCTTGCATTAATTGTATGCATCTCACTACAATTCGCACGTCGTTTTTGTTCATAAAACTGCGCATGGTGAAAAAAGAGAGAAAAGAAAAAACGCTCTTGTCTGTGCGACTCCTAATAATTTCTGCTTTTCCGGAATTTATTAAGCTTTCAGAGATTTCGACCTTAATTTTGATGTACTAACAGGCTTTGTTACAATTAAAAACCAGAATGAAAACATGAAAGGTCAAATGAAGTTAGGTAGTGCTGTGAGGAGAAACACTAAGATAGTGGTATCTTTTAGCGGAAGTATGATACGAGACACCCACAATAAGAAGGTCTCAAAGAGGTTAACCGTTAGCCTTAAAACGGACTAGAAAATTTAGCCGTTAGGCGAAAAAATTGACAAATTTCAACCGTAAGTCACCAAAAAAAGTTAACCGTAAAATGTTTTTATTTTACTGGCCAAAGAAAGAGGGTTAACCTTTAGCCGTCAAACAGCCAAAATTTTAACCGTTAATTTTAGCCGTAACATACGTCGTAATTCCACTGAGACCCTCAAAATAAACATCGGGGTGAATTGCTATCGTAAAACATCAAGCTGCATCTTCCTAATTCTGAAAAGTGTCTTTCGATCATAAGAACAAAAGTAGAGATTTATATATGTCAGTAAGAAAGCCGCGATACAGGTGAAAATTTTTGCATAAAATAACGTGAGCGAAGATCAAAACAATGGTTGTCGAGTTTTCTCATCTCACAAATAAAAACATGCATAGGTCATTAGATGAACTTTAGTCATTCAAACTTGACGCGAGAATTTCTTCATCCATATCATGCAACTCGTCAGTCATGTGAAAATTTTGTGATGAGGTAGTAATGAAGATCACATTTTTAAAAACGTGTGCTAGAATCCGACCGTAACTAATTTCGCAGAGTGGTAGTAGAATTTCAAACAAACAGCTGAAGGTAAGTTTCACGACTTTGACTCAGCATTTTGAATCGCCAGGTACCTTAGACTTGTTCGTCAGATTTTTCTACGAATCAATTCAAGCCGTTCTTATAAACTTCATGTGTAAGTCGGCTTTGATTACTGACGAAATTCAAGTCTAAACGGCAGGTGTACAAATCTTTTTTTCCCTTCAACATCTACTGATAAAAAAAAGCCGAAGACAGTCATTTTTGCCTATAGGTTTTTCATCATATCATGAAAAATGCGACTCAAAATTTTTAATGACAATCAAATCATATTTATTAAACAGTTCGTTTTCATCAGTTCATTTCAAGCATGTGACTCTTACTGACCTTTTTTTTTT